GAAGACACATCGTACCAAAGAAGCCTATGCCAAAGAACATTGGCATGATCAAGGGAAGGAGCTTTGATTTGACACGACAAATGGAGGAAGGTCCAAGAGGACTCACAATGCGGGAGCAGTGCACCCAAAAGGCTAAAGTCCGTCGACAGCCAAGCTCCTGGACAGACTAAGGAGGATTTGAAGGATTACCTCCAGAGGAAGCGGCAAGATGTCGAGGTAACCTCTCTTGTCAAGCCGAGGACACCGTTTTCGGTAGAATTAGACAAATTTGAGGCCCCAAAGAGGTTCCACATGCTGACATTCCAGATATACGATGGTAAGTCTGATCCTAACTTTCATGTCGGCTTGTACCTAAACTCCATGACACTATACACCGGGAACGAGCCGTTACTTTGCAAAGTGTTCCCATCATCCTTTGGGAAAATCGCATCAGACTGGTTTCACAAGTTGCCAAAAGGAACTGTGAAAAGCTGGGAAGGCCTGGCCGAGATGTTGGTGGCCAAGTTCGTGGCAAACAAACTACAGCCGTTGAGGGTCGATTCCCTGATGGCTCTGAGAATTGGCGAGGATGAAAGCCTCAAGACTTATGCTAAAATGTATTATGAAGTGTTTAACCGAATACCAGGGTGCAATCAAGAATTGGCAGTCGTTTCTTTTAAGAATGGCCTAAACGATGATTGCCTGCTTCAAAATTCACTGGCAAAAATACTGCCCAAAAGTATGGAGGAACTCATGGCCAGGATCGAGAAGTATGCAAGAGCCGAAGAAGACAAGTCAGGGACAAAAGCGCTGAAACAAGAGAAGAGAAACGGCTCGCCGAAGTGAGGCTGAGGAAATACTGGATATAACAAGCAAGAGACAATACTAAGGGCTGCACAGGCAGTCACCACAGTGTTCCGGATACTAGTCTACAAAAGTCTTGGAGAGAATTAGGAACCAGCCTTACTATAGAGCACCAGAGAAGATCTTTGGCGAATTTATGGGAAGGAGCTTGGGGAAGCATTGCGCCTACCACAATGAGGATGGGCACCTAACTCAGGGGTGCAGAACCCTAAAAACACACTTAGAAGACCTGGTCAGATAAAGCCACTTGAGGGACCTAGTGGATGAGGCCAGAACAAGAGAAGAACAAGCAAGGTTGCCCTAGGCACCGGCACCCCTAGGGATGGCAATTTGAAACCGGCCCGACGGGGTTCCCCGATCCCGACCCCGATTTAAGCGGGTTTTCCCAGAAAAATATCCCCGCGGGGACGGGGATGGTATTTAAAACTTAATCCCCAAACAGATTCGGGCCGGGGACAGGGATCAATTCTCCAACCCCGGCCCCGGCCCGACTAATCCCCGTCTGTCCCGCTGAGTAATTATAATATATATATATATATATTATATTATTTGTTTAGGGTTACTATATGCCTCCGTTTGGGAAGTGGGTTGGCTTTTTGGCTTTTTTGGCTATTTTAGCCTGGGCTAAAAAGCTTGGTTTGGGAAAGGCTTTTTGACTTTTTGGCTTTTTTGACTTTTTTTGTGAGAGAATAATGTAATGATTATAGGTTGGATGTGATGTTTTGTTTGTTATGGCTAAAATAGCCTATTTTGTTTTTTGTGGCTAAAATATATATATATATATTATATTATTTGTTTAGGATTACTATATATATATTATAATATATATATATATATATATATTATATTATTTGTTTAGGTGTTCTCTCTCACTCAAATCACACTCTCAGGTCTCAGCCTCTCTCCCTCTCTCTCTCTCCTGTGTAGATTGAAGATCAATGGTGTTCCCTCTGAGCTCACCGATGGTGTTGGCAGCAGCTTCCCCGTCTCGCGCCGATCTCCCTCCCTTCCACAACGACCTCCGTCCGACGCCGATCTCCCTCCCTCCCACGCCGACCTCCCTCCTTCCAACCTCACTGCTCCACGCCCCGATCTCTCTCCCTTCCTCCGATCTCACGCCGATCTCTCTCCTTCCCTCCGATCTGCCTCACACCAACTCTCTGCCTCCATCAGATCGCCCTCCATTCCGTGGCTTCCCTTCTACCGCCTCATCCATCAGAGCTCGGATCTGATGAAGATCAAGATGAAGAAAATGATTTGTTATGTATTTTACTTTTTATTTTTATTTTTTACATAGCTCAGATCAGATCTGCCTTTCATCCAAAAATAAATAAAAAAAAGGCAGATTTTTTATTTTTATTTTTTATGCAGATCTGTTGATGAAGTTCTTGTTGTTGTCAACATGTTGATGAGTGTGTGTGCTCAGATCAGATCTGATGGATGCTTATGAAGTTGTTTTTTTTTATAAAAATTTTAGCCGGGGAATTATCGGGGTCGGGGAAACCCGATCTCCGTTGGGGTCGGGGGCGGGGGTGGTAATAGGCTCCCCGTCGGGGATCAAGGCCGGGGACGGGGAAATTCCTACCATCGGGGATCGGGGACGGGGAGTGTGATCCCCGGCCCCGCCCTGCCCCGTTGCCATTCCTAGGCACCCCTACCCCCACCCCCACCAGCACCGCAACCACAAGTAGAAGGACCTTGAGTGATCAATGTGATTCACTCGAGGGTCAACGACAATGAGATATGTGGGGAGACTCAGAAGGTAAGACACTTATAACATATGTGTCAGGTCCAGCAAAAAAGGCCTAGGGCAGGCGAGTGCTAGGGACCAATGGTATCTTTTACTGAAGCCGACCTAGACATGGTACAGTTTCCACACAATGATGCTCTCGTGATATCCTTGAAGATTGGAGAGTACCAAGTAAGGCGCATTCTAGTTGACCAAGGCAATTCTTGTGACATCATGTATGTCAGATGCTACAAGGAGCTTGGCTTTCACCAAGACGATCTGGAACAGTCCAATGGTTGGGGTTCAATGGAACACCGACATGGCCCTTGGGGCCAATAAAATTGGAGGTGCAAGCAGGCACCAGGAACGTGAGCATAGAATTCACAATCATTGACACCCCCTCACCTTATAACGTTATCCTGGAAGGCCATGGCTGCATGCAATGGGGGATGTTTCCTCAACGCTGCAACAGTTGTTGCGATTCCCAACAGAACATAGAATTGATGAGGTCAGAGAGGATCAGGTGCAGGCAAAGAATTGCTCCATGGCAGTAATGAAATCCACCTGCAACATACGAGAAGTAGAAACATTAGAGATTGAGGATGAGGACATGGAAATCCTTGATGACGTCGGCAAAGAACCAGCCGAGAAAAGTGAGGAAACCCTGAAGAATATCCTAGTCTAGTAAATGGATGAAGAGCGTTTTTTCCTTCTCGACTTAGGCTTGGCCAAGGAAGAAGAAAAGGAGTTAGAGGCGTTCTTGAGAGCAAATATTGAGGTATTTGCCTAGACACCATACGAGATGCTTGGCATTGATCCCGAGGTCACTTGCCATAGACTGAATGTGGACAGGTTGGCCAAACCTGTCATCCAGTGAGCAAGGAGGCCTATCTTGATGCATGTTGAGACAGTAGAAAAGGAGGTGGATAAACTGCTAGAAGCCAGAGCTAATCGAGACGTAAACTACCCAACATGGTTATCAAATATAGTTGTTGTGAAGAAGAAGAAGAATGGGAAGTGGAGGGTCTGTGTGGACTTCACCAGCCTGAATAAGGCTTGTCCCAAAGACAATTTCCCACTCCCCAAGATTGACTAATTAGTGGATGCTATTTTAGGGCATGGAAGGATGAGCTTCCTGGACGCTTACAAGGGGTACCATTAGATAGCCATGTACCCCCCGATGAGAAGAAAACTGCATTTCCCACCCCAAAATGGCTATATTGCTACAGAGTAATGCCTTTCGGGTTGAAAAATGCAGGAGTAACTTACCATAGATTAGTGACTAAGATGTTCAGACATCTAATAGGCAAAACAGTGGAGGCATACATTGATGACATGGTCGTGACTACCAAAGAACCTGAGTTTCTAAGTGAAACATGACGAATAACTTAGACTTATTATATGGCAGAGTTGAATTATACTTGCATATAATAGAGTTTAACTAAGTTGGCAATGTTTCTAAGTGAAACATGACGAGTAACGCACTCATTATATGGCAAAGTTGAATTATACTTGCATATAATAGAGTTAAACTAAGTTAGCGATGTTTCTAAGTGAAACATGACGAGTAACTCACTCATTATATGGCAGAATTGAATTATACTTGCATATAATGGAGTTGAACTAAGTTGAAATTAACCTGGGCTTGCCATATTAGCAGAGTCAAATTCAGATTGGAACTAAGTGCATTTGAGTAAGATTGGCAGAGGAACCAAGGTTGAGAACCTCTGCTAATCTCTGTTTGAATCTAACTTCGGCAATAAGGTCACAACCACATGCTTAATGAGAACCTAACTAAAACTTAAGTTCACATTAGGGGGCAGAGAAATGGAGAATGATGAGTAAAAGTTCAAAATGCTTTGGGACTTGTTGAAATTTTTGTAGAAAAATTTACAAGCTAGAGTTGGCTTAGTACTTACTGAAATTTTTTAGAAAAATTTACAAGTTAAAGTCAAGCCGAGGTAAATTTGAAAGAAGTACATACGTACTTGCCGAGATTACCAGGTTGCAAAACTTGGAAAGCATGGAAGACTGAAGTCTTGATAAAAGACAACAAGTAAAGTGGCAAGTTCTAGATAACACTTGTGAAAATATTTTTTACAATGTTTTCAAGTGTTAACACAAGGCCGAGATAAACAAGATGGAAGTTATGTCCAAGGTATTTTACTCCAAGGAGACTATACAGCTAAAAGAATAAAACTGAAGACATGCAAAATATTCTAAGTATGGAAATAGTGAAGCATACAAACATACAAACACTTGAAAGAAGAAGTTACACTTGCATTCAAAAGAAGAAAAAGGGCACTTCGACCTACAGAGGGATTACTTGTTCAGATTACAGAAGTGGCTCGTCGGCCAAATATGAAAACTACAACCTTGTTCAAAATGTAAAAAAGTACTAAGTACAAAGAAAAAACTTATAGTCAGACTACTCGACGTCGGTGGCAGGCTGTGTCTCGGCCCTAGAAGACAAATGGGAAATCTTCTCGGCAGCATTCTCAACCTCGTGCTCAGCGTCGATCTCTTGTAGAGTCTGATCGAGGCTCTTCTCGGCAATAGGCACCTCGGATGCAGTCTTCTTGGGGGAGGCACCTTTTGAGACCTCGTTCTCCTCATCCTGAGTCAAGTCTAGGACTTGCTCATTCAGAGTTAGGGACTTGACCCTAGTAGAAACTTCAGCATCAGCTGCCACCTCGGCCTCTTCGTCTTCGTTTTCCTCTCCATCTTCTTCTTCTTTTTCTTCCCCCTCATCCTTAGCCTCAGATTGGCTTTAAGCAGGAGGGAATGGCAACACAAGTCGGCCTTCGTCTTTGAGAGGAGAGTCCTCGAGGATAGCCAACTCCTTCAGAGCAGCCATCTAACCAAGGGCGTAACCCTTGTTGCATGCCCGTTTGACTTGTTTGTTGTACTCATCACGGACGTCAGCTGTCCCCTCGGGATAGGCTTTCTCGCCCGCTGCTTTGATCTCGGCGTCTTTTGTGGCCAAGGCCGCTTGAAGCTCGGCTTGGGCTTCGATAGTTTTTGCTTCGGCCTCTTTTTTCTAAGCTTTGAGAACCTCAGCAACAGCCTTTGCAGCACCTGCCTTTTCCTCGGCATCATCTTGAGCTTGCTTAGCTACTTTGGCCTGATCTATCAAGGCTTTCATCTTGGCCTCGGCATTATTTAAAGATTTGAGTAAACCAATAGCCTCCTTGGTCTTGTGGACCAGCTCCTTCTTCATTTCTTCTGGTTGCATTGCAAAGGAGTGGGCGTGCTGGATCGCCTAAAAGAAATGCAAAGAACAAAGTTAGTAAATTCTTTAAGTATGAAAACAGAGAATGGAGGGTACCGAGTGTAGAAGTTTACCATTACTGAGTGCTAAACCGTCAGACCAAAATTTTCGTATTCACTGACCTCGGCCATACAGTTGAGGTCATTGGGAAGAAGCAGCGCAGTGGAGAGGGCGACGCCGACCTCAATATCAGAGGCGCTGTCACCGGCTCTAATTGGTTTGTCCTCAATCATGATGGAGGGGGCCCAGGGGTCATCAGATTTAAGAGAACCCGAGGTGACTGCAGAGTCCGACCTCGGCTTCTTTGACTTAGTTGATTCAGAGGGGTCAGCCTCGGCGGGCCTCTTCTCTGCGGCGGAAGTGCTTTTCTCAACCTCGGCCAGCTTGGATATAGACAAGGTGTCATCGGAGTCGATCTGAATCACTGTTGCCTTGGTTTTGGCCTTCTTCACCATTTTTGGCTTGACCTTTGGTTGGGGTTACGATGGTGAAGATTGGACTGTGACAACATCGAGGATGTTGGCTAGAAGGTCTTCGGCGACGGCCTTGTTGTGCCTCATTTCATCGGCAGTGGCGGCGACTGTACGAATTGTTGGCAGTGCAGTAGGCGGGTTTGTTAGATCATAAGCCGACGCCTCAGTATTTTAGCGTTTTCGGCTACGTGTTTTGCCTACGGGGACAAGCAGTGGAGCTCGATGTCGGTGTTGACATTGGGCTGGAGGGATTAGTTGCAGAGCAGATGTCGATGGCTGCTCTGCCGGGTCAGAGGTTGAGGCCTGATCATGCCTTGGTGATGAAGTAATTGGGGGAGTTGTCGCAGAAGGTGGAGACTTGCTCTTCTTTGGGACGTCGGGCAGGATGGATTTGTAGGTTGGGATGTAGTTCAGTAGCAGAGAAGCCTTGCGTTAATTAACAGGCAAGTCCAGCAGTTTCCTGAAATCTTTACTGGGGTAGAAGGTTTTGCGGAAGTCTTTCGGTGGCTGAGGAAGAACTGTAAGTAATAAATAGATGTTAAAACATACAAAAGTATCAAAGTAATAAAGACTTGAAAGCAAGTAAAGTGACACTTTATTCTTACCATTACCCTCTTTAAAGATTGATCGGCTCAAAGGATAGAGATGGAGGTCATCAGTGACGATGAAATAATCATCTCCAGTATCTTTGTTGGAGTCTGGGACGTCGACAACTAGTTTGTATTCGGTTGACCTCAGCTTAAGGTAATAGATGTAGCCTTTTTTTAACTTAAGGCCACACATGGTATAGCAGTATTGGATGTCGGCTAGAGTGATCCTAGCGTTCTCTCGGCTAGCTAGGGCAATTATGCCGTTGATGACTCTGTATGAGTTAATGGCTAGCTACATTGGGTTTAGTTTGTAATAGTGAAGGACTTGGCGGAAGAGGATGTCAAGAGGGAACCTAAGTCCACACTCGATGAAAGCTACCACTGGGAAGGGCATGGAATTGTCTTTGGGCATGATGGACTCTTCCTCTCTAGCCAACCTAAGATGAATGGAGAACTCTTGCCTAAAGTATTCAAGCTTCTCTGGTGTATCTACCCTCAACCTAAACATACCCATGACGTTAGCCAGAGGGACAAGGTGAGAGAATTCGGAAGAAAGAGGTTTGTGTGGGTTTCAGGGAAGTACTGAGGTAAATTTTTCTGAAAATCTAAAGGGTTTTTGGTTCGGTTTTTCTAAAGAGCAAGGTTTTAGAACAAATCCCAAGTCTAAGACTATGGAAACAAGAATTGAAGGTAGGAATCTGGAAAATGCAAACAAGAAAACAGTGCAAAGAGCATGATTCAGACTCAAGAAGGTAGTAGAAATTCAAGAACACAGATTAAAAATCAAGAACAGTGATAAATTATCAAAAACATCGAGACACGTGAAACAATGCATATGTGTGCATAAGGGCCATGAACTAAAAGCAGATTGAACAACTAGAAATTCCAAACAAAGTGTGTTTGGTACTCAAAATGATGAAATTTACAACACAGATGAAGATTCAAGAACATGAATGGATTCGCAAATGGCAGTATACAAGCATAGCAAAGTTTAAAGTAAATCAAAAAAATAAAAGAAGGGGAACAACGACTTACTGAAGAAAATGGCGTCGGTGTGAGGTTCACTGGAGTCAGACGACGATGGTGAATGAAGCGGAGCGATGAATGCTTCACTGAAAGAGATGAATGGAAGCAGTTGCAGAAGCTTTGAGAGAACGAAAATGGAGGATTTAGAAGAGAAGTGTTAGAGAGAGAAAACTTGAGCGAAATCACAGATGCAAAAGTGAAGAGACGAAGAGAGAGAGAGAGAGAGAGGTGTTTTTGATTAAAACACAAAAAGGCGGCAAAATCATAATTAGTGTGCCTAGGACGACGTGTCTGTCAGGCGACGCACGCAGAAACGACACGACCTGATGGCGCGTGTCAGGTACGGATCAATAAGAAAAAGACGTGTGGCAAAAACGATTGAGAAGTCATGCATGACAGCGTATACGCATGTAGAACTCTTGGAGTTCTTGATCTAATGAAGCAAAGACCTCGGCTAGGGGGACGATCTTGGTTGAAGAACTTAACAAAATTTTTTGTTTTTTGTTTTTGGGCATTGGTAAAACAGATCGCAGTCTTGGTCACATGGGAGCCGATGTGTGACGACCCGGTAATAAATGGTAGAGTAAGTTTTAACCGACGTGATATGTGGACAAAAGATATAGGTTCCATCACCTCAAGATGCCGAGGTAATAGAACCTAGGGGCAATTGTGGGGGCATATTTTTGTGAATGACAACACGTGGCCAAGGTTGCACCGAAGTGCCAACCGACGTGCCACGTGTCCTGGTCATAGCGCCGAGGTAATCTCGGCTAGGCCGATGTTATCTGCGGAGATACCGGAATCTGAGGCGAGCGGAAAAGCTATAAGAATCCTAGATGGGGGAGGACCTCAGCTCGGATAAGGGTAAAGCTCTTAAGGAGTTTATCTCTATGTATTTGAGAGTCCATGATAAGTATTGAGCTAGAGTCTATTGGAGTTAGGCTTCTACAGGGATCAGGTTAGTGCAGGCTATAAAAGTAAGGCACCCTCGTGGGTCTAAGGTACGCTTTTTGTTTCCTGGCTAGTGAGTTAAAGTACTGTTTGCTATCTTTGATTGATAATTGAGTACTGACTTGATCGTCGGAGTCCCCCCGGGTGGAAGAACTATCGCCGGAGTTTCATTTTTCTGTGACAGGTCGTTTGGGCGCAATCTATTCTGCCGGTGTTCTCCAACTAAGTACCTGTTTGGCAGTGTGGTCAGAAAACAACACACACACATTTTATCTTATCAACTATTTTAATTTATTTTATTTTTTTTGACTAAATCTAACTTTGGTATGTGAGGTTGGTTTTAAAATAGTCACAGAAAAATAAAATAGGTTAAGAAGTCAATAAGACAAAATATCACATTCAAACTATAATCATGTTTTTTTCTTCTTAAAAAAGTCAAAAAAAGAATTTTTTTTTATTGTTGATTTCTCTTTTTTCTTTTTGTTCTTTTTTTTCATTTTTAGTTAACTTTTATGTCTTAATAGAAGATCTTGAAATATACATAAATAAAGAATTTAAAAATCTATCCAAGACAGAGACAATATTATTGTCCTAAACAATTTATTATTTGATAAATTACACTGATTTTTTTAAAAAATAATTGTAGAAATCTCACTATAGTTTTCTTATTTTCTAAATTATTATACATTTCGGTTAAACGTTAGCCATATGTTTGCACTTTTGCTAAAATATGTTGATCTCACATTACATGATTTAAGACTTTAAATGTCAATAATTTCCCTTGGTTGTCTTCTATATTCGAAGACACAACAAAACTCCACCAGGCAAACAATACCATTTGAACAAACATCAACCACATACCTTCACTATCACCGATCAAATAATGCTTCATTATCTTCTTCATTGTCTTCTATAATACCCAAGGAAGGATGGATACGGATACGGAATACGGGTACGATACGATACGATACGGATACGGCGATACGACAAAATTTAAAAAATTAAGATACCGGTACGGCAGGGATACGTTCATAAAAAAATATTATTTTTACAATTTTCAGTAATGTAGCATACATAAAAATAAATATGTATGAACAAATAAAGTGACATATATTTATTTTAGTTATAATTTTTAGAACATTTTTGATATTTTTTGCACAAAAAAAAAAATGTGACAATTTATTTAGCCAAATAGGTTCAACTTTTTTCATAACCAAACACATTTACAACTTATTTTAATTCTTTTAAACTAATAATAATTTTTTTTATAAATATAAAAGCTAATATATATATATATATATATGATACATTGATATCAAATGGGGCCAAAACAGGTTACAAAGAGTATACTTACAAAGAAAAAAAACAAAAAAAATTGTATATCAAATGAGCCAAAACAGGTTACAGTCTACAACAAAGTATACCTATAATAAAAAAAAAAAAAACTAAAAAAAATGTGTCCGGAAGAGAGATCGAAAGGAAGAGCAAGAGACGATAAAGGGAGATGGAGAGATTGACCGAGAGAGAGAGAGAGAGTGAGAGTGAGATCGAGCGAGATCTGTCCATCCAGACTAGAGAGATCGAGCGAGAGCGAGAGGGAGAAAGAGAGAGAGAGAGAGAGGGACGAACTTGATCGATGACTCCTTGTTGGTTGATTGATTGAGACGACGACGACTCCTCTCCTCCTTTGCTGTTGCTGTCGCGACTTATGTAGGGTTTGGTTGATTTATTTTTTTGTTTTTATTTTACCTTATTTTGTTATTTTATAGTTTGACCCCATTATAAGTTTTTAAAATTATTTTGTTGCCCCGCTGTATCCCAAAAGTATCCCGACCGTATCTTTGAAGTATCGTCGCGTATCTCAAACGTATCCGAAATTAAAAAAAAAAAAGGATAATCCTTTTGCCGCATCTAATATGTATCCCATCGTATAGGGCGTATATCCGTATCTGATGCGTATCTGATACGCAGACGGGGACCATTTCGAAGTATCTGTACTTCATAGATAATGCCAAAGTTAATAGAATAACTCATAACCAACATCACTTAAAAAAATAATTAAATATCATAATGGAATGTAACAAATTTTGATTTGATAATTTTCTAACGCCACCAATATAGTGGTATGTAATATCAATTTAAATCATAACTTGTATATAATATACATGTGTATTGCAGCAGCATCACCTTAGCTAAACCTTCAAACAAATTGGGACTTTAAAAAAATAAAAATAAAAAACCTTTGAGGGGGCCAATTCTCTATAAATTATAGAATAGTTAACAATTCTGAAATGTTTACAGGCAGTGCCCCCCTTGTGTGTCCGCTTCTAAAAAAAAAAAAAAAAAAGAAAAAAAAAAGGCTATGTATAAAACTAAAAAAACTCAAAGTGAAATTTAAAATAAAATAGTCAATTCCTAAACGGAGCCTTAGTAAAGATGATTTTTTTTTTTATTTTTTTTATTTTATCAATCAATAAGAGAGTAATTATAAATATAAACATTATCAAACAAACTATTAGCTCAGAATAGTTAGAAAGTCAATAAAATCTAATACAACTAATATACTAAGCTCACCAAGCCCAAGCCCAAGTCCAAGCCTAAGCGCAAATAAACAACTACCACAAAGAGTATCAAATTCAACTTCATACCACAATAATTAAGTATGAGATTTTATTTTTAGTAAGAACCTTCTATGCTGATCAAAAAATAAAAATAAAAAAGTGTGAGTTTGAAGGTGTTGTTGGGCATGAGTGCTGGTTTCGATCGTAACTATTTATCTTGCTTGATTATGTGTACACAAAAATGAGATTGGTTTTCTTTTTTTCTTTTCTTTAAGTACATCGGAAAGACAAAAATGATAGGCCTCGTTTGGAAACTCTCCATTTTAGTTAAAAAGTCAAAAAGTTATTAAATTAGCAAAAAAATCAACAACTCATACAAAAAAGTCAAAGATTCTCTTTTCTTTCTACTTTTTGCGCATCTTTTCGTAAAAAGTCAAAAAGTCATCCCAAACATACTACTTTTTTTTAGCTCATATTTTAGCCAAATAGTCAAAAAGTTACTAAATTAGCCTATTCCCAAACGAGATAGTATATTTGGTTTCAGTTTTTAAAAATTAAATTTTTTGTTTTTCGTATTTTTTATTTTTAGTGAATATTTTAAGTAATTTTTTTTTTTACTTTTTTAGATAAATAGTAAAATATTTGTGAAAAAATATTTTAAAAAATTAATAAATATACAAAAATATAAAAATTGTACTGAATTTTTTTTTCTAATATTTTTCGTATTTTGTGAATTTTTTTAGAAAAATTCACAAATATTATACTAACGCAGCGGAATAAATCACACGGGACTAGATATCGTTCTAATAGACGAGAATTCTTGAATCTACAAGAATACCCTTGAATCCACAACGAAGATAGAAGAAAAGCTCTTAAAAATATTATTCAATGAATGAAAATTACATATGCTTGTAGGCTTATTTATAATAGACTATACCTAATACTTGTAGGAAAAGTGATTCCAAAATAAATTAAGAAACTTAAATCAACACAAATTAAGAAACCTAAGAGAACTAAGAAACCTAAGAGATTAAAAATTCTAAGCTATTTAAAATCCTAGTAAAAAACCTAATTCTAAATAATAAAATTAAGAAATATAAAAATTATAGAATTTTGTTCTACATCTTTTTTCTTGCCTATTGTCGGTCCAATTGTTTCAAGAAGTTTTCGGCTACTTGTTCTACATCATATACTTTTTGAATATATTTATGTTAAGTGTTTCTAAAACTTTAAAAAATTATTTTAAAAACAATATGAAAAATAAAAAAATAAATGTTTTTAAAAAGTGTTTTTTTAAAAACTAAAACTAAACAAGCTTATTGGTTTTCGACAAGCATATATTATGATAACTATAATTATTTATTGGTATAGAAATGCTAACATGAAAATTCAAAATTTGTATTTTATTTTTTTCATTTTATTTTTCGTGATCGCTCCCATTGTCGTTTTTCATAAAGGTCTCATTTGACAAGTTAAAAAATTATTTAAAAAATTTAAAAATTCCAAAAACACAATTCATAATAATTTAAAAAAAAAAAAAATCAATCATTCTTAAACGCATCAACTTTTTTTTTATTATTAAATAAATAATAAAAAAATCCAACAAAAATGACTGAAAAAGCAAACCTCAAACGAGGTCAAACTTGACGGACCAAGTAAAAACATTATAGATGGATCACATAGTGACAGCCTCCATGAACTCTTCATCATCCCTCATAGCAACCAACTTCTCAGGCAACAAGCATACCTCGATGTCAATACTCCCTTCTTCCACCCCGGGAAAAACCGTTATCTTCCCATCACTCTTGTTCGCGCTGCCACTTCTCACCGCCACCGGTTTTCCCCAACCAAAGTCATTTCCATACACATTAAACCGAGGCGAACTACTAGTCGTCAAGGTATTGTTTGTCATAACACTCATTGTCAATAGTTTCGGATTCTTTACCCAATCCTCGTACAACTTCCTAATCCCATCATTCGTCTGCAAAGCAATCGCTTTATTCATTTGCCAAGCCACCCAACCAAGTCCCTTCCCCACCACCTCCTCCGCCGCGGCACGTAAAATCTCATCATTAATTGTATTCCCAAAATACCCTTCTGGCAACGGGGGTCGAAGCCTTGTCCTCGCACTCACTAGTAAAACGTACTTCACCTCTTGGTTAGTGTCATTGATGTTTTGGCAACGTACGACAGATCGCCATAGATGAGCTAGTAATGCTTGGAGAGAGGAGATAGTGGTGGTGTTCATCTCGGCATTGGCTTTGGCTTTAAGTTTTGCAATTTTCTCTTTCGTGAAATGAAAAACCATTTCTTCTACTTTTGGTAAAACGAAGGTATCGCTAATTTGCTCGGAGGAAAAAGGGATTCGAATGGGGCAGTCGACATCACTAGGAAACCAACGGTTAAAAACCGGAGGTCGCGATATTTTGTCAGAACCTCTAGATATTTCTGACCAAGAATTAAAGAATTGCCAGAAACACGACCTGTCAACAACACCATGATTCATGGTGCAGCCGATGAAAAAGCCGTCGACAAGCTCGGTTACTTGAACCGCAAGCAATGATTTGGAAATGCCTTCATGGTTAAGGTAACCATTTAATGGGAAAAAGGAGTGGACAAGTCGAGGTACGTGCACGGGACCGAGGATATCGCTGACAGTGACATCGTCGGCGATGGCATGAACAAATTGCGCTCCGGCATTGTTGCAGTCTATGAAGAACGAGGAGGTGCCGTCGTCATTTTTTATTGTACCGAGACGGCCAGCGAGGAGAGGAAAGAAGTCAAGTGTGCGAGAAAATGAGATCTTGAGATGATCAACTATGGTGTTTGCTAGCAGTGGTAGTTGTTGTTGTTGTGATTGTGATGGTGTTGGTGTGGGTTTGAGGAAGAGAAGACCCTTTTGGATAGGGCCTAGTAAGAGAAGTTGGAGATCCCATGGATTCAACTCAATCCTATGGTGGGTTGATTCACCATGGTGGGGACTACTCGCTAGGACTAGATCATCGGAGATGAATCGAATTTCCGCCATGTTTCTCTCTCTACAATTCGTTTCTATTTTTTTTGTCGCTTGTATGTTTTATCAATCCTCAACTTATTGAAGCCTTTTGTGAGTGTTAAATAGAAAAAGCTAGCAACATGACAGATACGTGATAGACATGTCTTAGACAATTTCCAGCTGTCATCCACAAGCGCAATGCAAACACGATTCCAGTTAGACTAGTCATACACAACTCTAAAATAATAATTTTAATCAGCTTTATTGTTTTTATTTTCAGAAAATACTTTTTAAAAAATTTTATTTTTTAATTTTTTGTATTTTTGTATTTTTACTGAATTTTTTTAATATTTTAAGTAATTTTTTTATTTTTTAGACACACCTAACATAAATACACCTAAAAAGTAAAAAAAAATTGTAAAAAAACTTTTAAAAATTCACTAAATAGAAAAAAAATACAAGAATTCAGTACATTTTTTTGTATTTCTATGTATTTATTAATTTTTTAAAATATTTTTTCACAAATTTTTTATTTTTCATATACATCTAACTAAGGTGCATCTAAAAAAATATAAAAAAATGTTTAAAATTTAAAAAATATTCACTAAAAATAAAAGAATACGAAAACCAAAAAACAGTTTTAAAAAACTTAGGCCCCGTTTGGGGACTTACTTTTTTAGCCAAAAAGTCAAAAAGTTACCATTTTAGCCAAAAAGCCAATAACTCATAGCAAAAAGTCAAAGATTCTCTTTTCTCTCTACTTTTTGCACATCTTTTCGTAATTAGCCAAAAAGTCATCCCAAACATAAGTTTTTTTTACCTACTTTTTTAGCCAAATAGTCAAAAAGTTACTAAATTAGCCTGTTCCCAAACGAGGCCTTAATCCAGAAAACTCAAACCAAACACACTAAATAATATCTTTAATGAGATAACATAGGAAAAATGAGTGGGAGCACTAATTAGTGTCACCACTAATGATGTGGCAGTGAGTCCTATCTACTGCCACAATGTTGTTGTGTCTATTTTTTTTTATTAAAAAAGTGAATGTCACATCATTAATAATTATTTTAGAGTATCACTTTTAGTAATCTTTAGTATTACCCGATAACAGAGAGCGGTAGGGAGAGAAGGGAAAATGCTCCAAACATCCCTTTCTCCCCCACCTCCACAATCTCCCACCCCCACGGGGTTGGTGATTGAAAAAAAAAATAAAAATAAAAATAAAATAAATAAAAGAAGGAAGGGTTGATCAATGGGGTGCCAGTGGGGTCGTGGGGTAACCTCACTGGGGGTCTCAATTATAACCGGAGAGAAAAGTGTGGCCTTTCATATTACGTAGATCAACAATGATTCATCCCACTAAAAATATCACCACTAATAGCACTAATGCATTAAAAAAGTAAAAAAAAAAAAAAAAAAATACAACTCCAAGACCAAAACATCACATCATTCATGGCAGGACCCACTGCCACCTAATTAGTGGGAGCACTAATTAGTGCTCCCAAGCATTTTTCTTACGTAGATACCCTCTACACCATTAATTTATGTTTGGAAAGTTGGGTTTGAAGATTTTTTTTTGATTAAAATAGTCTTAAAAAATAAAATAGGCTTTTTAGTTTAATAAGATAAAATATCACATTTAACCCATAATTATTACATTCTTTCTCTCATAAAAAAACAAAAAAATAAAAATAAAAAAACCAAAAGTCCTTCTCAAACTAAACTTTTTAACCCTAAGCTAAAATAGCAAAAAAAAAGTTAAAAAATCAAAAAGTCAACCCACTTCTCAAACGAAACCTTAGAACTCTATTAGAGCTTTCAAATTATGGGTGATTATTCAATATACATGATATATGTGTAACAACTTAAAAATTTAAATTATTCCTTAAATTTTATATTATTATTCAAAATTATTTTCTAAATATTATAATATTTTTATTATATTTTTTTAAATATTTTTTTAGACTAAAATACACTAAAACATAACATTTTATGTACCAAAAAAAGAAAACGTTTTTATATAAATAAAACTTTGAATTTATTGAATAGAAAAAGGTAAAAGTTAAAATTAATATTAAGGTGAATTATATTATAACTTGAGTCACCATCATATGTTTACGTATGGTTTGAGTTACCATAATTTATTTTACGTAATTTACATTTTATAAATTATATTAACATTTTTAATTTATAAACCTTATTTTATATAATAAGGAAAACCATGGATATAATTATTATTAAATATATTTTTGAGCAACTATTTTATAAATACCACCACGGAAGTCTCATGCCTTAGAGGACTTAAATAACCATTGGTCCTCTGATTGGTCATTTTGTGACCCTCTGTCTGTCATGGATCCACTGACATGATTTCTGGTGTGGAACAAAGTGTTGTACGGAGTTAAGTGCTACACTATTGTGGGAGCCACCTCTAGAGTTCGTACAAGCCATCTCTTTAGTCCATACATCTGTTCTGTTATGTACCGTGGTTATGATTTCTAGTGTAAAGCAAAGTGCTATACGGAATTAAGTGCTACACTATGGTAGGAGCCACCTCTTGAGTTCGTACGAGCCACATCTTGAGTCCATACATCTATTCTGTTCCATTCTGTATCGTGGTTATGATTATTTTGTTTATATGATTTTTATATTATATGTCAAATGATCTCTGTATTTTAATATCAAGTTTTGTTTAGCCAATAATTATCCATGGTAAATTTTATGCCCTTATGCTCTTAGTATAATATTTCTCACTCTGCCATGTACTTATAGTTGGTTACCACTTTCAAGTGACATGTTAGCGCCAGCGCGTGAGGTAGGCACAAAGCATTTTGTAGACATAGTTCAGATTTGACAATTTAATTAAATAGAAACTCCAATGATTATTTTGATACCTTCCGCTCGCGTTTAGTAATTTGTTTAAGAATTGGCTGGAAGTAACTTTAGTTGCTGGCCATTACGATGGTTAACCCTCGGATATGGGGAGCGGGTCGTGACAGTATGGACATGTGGTGTTCTATAACGTTTTGATTAGTAGAGAGAGGTAGGGCCCACGATTTATGTTAGGCATAGGGGAACAACATGGGACTAAGTAATTGGTGATTGGTTTGGAGTATGACCACGTAGTGTTGCAGAATTATTGAATAATTTCTCCTCAAATTAGAGCTCCCAAATATTATTATTCCAGCTATTATCCCTAGCACAATATAACAGAAACGTGGTAGACATGTGTTAGAATTGTTTTTGGTTTATTTAATTGTATATTTTGAAAATAATTTTGAAGTTTGGGAGTTTGAGATAATTTGATATTTTGTTGTAGTTGAATAGATGTGTGTAAGAGAAAAATGATTGAGAATGAGATATGAGAGAGAAAAAGTGATTAATTGATGTATAGGAGAGAGAAAGTGATTTTGAATTTTTTTTTTTTTTTTCAAAACTTTGAACCAAACAAAATTTTAAATTTTTTTCTCAAAAATTGTATCTTGAGATATAAATCAAACAAGCCCTAGGTTTTTATAAAAAGATGTGAAGAAAAGTAGAGATAGTGATGTGATAATTTATAGTAACTTTTAAATTTTTTGACTAAAATATATAATTAATAAACAAGACCAAAGAGTTTGTTTGACATCTTTTGAATAAAATGTATTTATTTAAATAAGTATATTTATTTGAGTTACATTATTTTTTTATACTTTTTTTTATAAAAATTTTAAAAATATATCTATTTAGATTATTTTAATTCAAACAACCATGAGCTATTGGCCTCGTTTGGCAAGTGCCCTTTTTAGTTACAAAGTCAAAAAGTTATTAAAAAAATCAAAAAGTCAACAATCCATACAAAAAAAACAAAGATTCATTTTTTTCTCTATTTTTTTCACATCTTTTTGTAAAAAGTCAAAAAGTCATCCCAAACATACTAATTTTTTTTACATCACATTTTAGCAAAAAATTCAAAAAGTTACTAAAAAATCCTGTTCCCAAACGAGGCCTAAGTGCTCGTTTGGTTTCTCTCTTGGGGTTAAAAAATCACAAAAGGACAAAAAAAAGTCAAAAAATCACAAAATAACAAAAAATCATAAAAAGGCAAAAAAAAAAAAATTTGTCATTCCAAAACCAAAAAGTCCAAAAAGCCAACTAAGAAAACTAAACAAATAAAAAAGTCTCAGGTTAAAAAAGTCAAAAAAGTTAAAAAGTTAACTAAAAAAGTCATTGCCAAACAACCTCTAATATTTGTTATTTTTTTAAAATATTTTACAAAAAAATGTGAAATTATATACTGTAATATAGAATTGTTAAATTACCTGTTTGCCCTTGGGGATTCTAGCATGCAGATCTTACAAGGTAGCATACAAAGCCTTTGGTTGCATGTCAAATTTTTTGATTTTTAGTTATTTAAGTCATAAAAAAATAAAATATATTAAAAAATTAATAAGATAAAACGTCACATTTAAATCATAATTATTTTATTTTATTTTTATTTCATAAAAATCAAATAAATTTTTTTTTTTTTTCCAAACGAAAAATTTTAATTTTAAATTAAAATAGCGAAAAAAAAACCAGCCGAACGATGCGTCGGTTGCTGCTGATAACCGGAGACATTGAGGCAGAGAAGATGGAGACTTGTCAAGTTCTCACCTCAAAGCTGCCATGTGCCAGCAACGTTCTCATGGATTTCAAATTATATATATATTTTTTTTATTTCAAAATAATCAGTGGTTGGTCATTTTAGCGAGCAGGTATTGATCGGTCTTGGACATGTGATCTTACATGTGTTTTGATTGAAATTTTTTTTTTATTTTTTATAATTCTATGATTAATATTAGAAAGTTTAAAAATTAAATATTTTATATAGCTGTGAGTTTCATATAAGTTGAGTCACATGTGAGTTCACATCCATATAAGATATTTAATAAAATTTTTTATAATTTTTTGATTATTTTTGTTCACTTTTTAATTATTTTAATTTGATTAAAAAAATTACTAGTGGTAAATTGATTATTTTTTTGTTGACTTTTTTATTATTTTAATTTGATTAAAAAAATTATTAGTGATAATCCGTGTTATGTCCATCATGTAAAAAAATTCATATTATATTTTTATACAAAATAATATAAAAT